CTCGGTCCATTATTGTTCTTATTATATATCAACGATCTTCCAAATTGCTTATCAAATTGTAAACCGAGAATGTATGCCGATGACACGCACCTCACATATGCGGGAAGCAATCTTGAGAACGTTCAGTTTTGTCTAAATGAAGACCTAGAAAACGTCTTCAACTGGCTACAAGCGAACAAACTCACGTTGAACATGACTAAAACCGAATTCATGCTAATAGGGTCGAGGCAGAGACTGAATACTCTCACAGCTTCACCAACAATTAGAATGAACAATACTCAAGTGAGCCAGGTTTCAGCTACAAAATCGCTTGGTGTAATAATAGACGATAAACTCGATTGGCATAGTCACATCGAAAAACTAACGAAAAAGATCGCCTCTGGTATCGGGGCCCTAAAGCGAATTAGGCACCTGATCCCAGCATCAACCTTACATCTCATCTACCAAGCTTTAGTAAAACCTCACTTTGATTACTGTGACATTGTTTGGGGTAGCTGTGGGAAAACGCTACGAGACAAACTGCAGAAATTGCAGAATAGAGCAGCCCGTGTGTTGACATTCTCTAACTATGATGCTGATGCAACTGAGCTACTCGAGTTTTTAGGGTGGAAAAATCTTGCACGCCAGCAGGAAATCCATAAAGCCACCATGATGTTTAGATGTCTGCACGGGCTAGCTCCAAGGTATCTATATTCAAAGTTTACGTGGCGTGACTCTGCTTATGACCTCAGGGACTCTGAAAATAAGCTTAATGTTCCACTACCGCGCACTAATTATTACAGAAAAAGCTTTAGCTACAATGGCGCCACATTATGGAACAGTTTACCACGCGATATAAGGAACACAGAGTCTCTGGGGTTATTTAAACGTAAGATCAATGACATTCTTTAACGGGAGGGACGATGCCATTCGACGCAGGATTGCGGTAGACTCCGGAAAAACTTGAAATCGATCGTGACTTATGGCTGACAATAGCATTCAATCAAATGCGACAAAGCAAAGCCATGTAACAAAAAATAAACTTCAGGGTGAGATGACTTAAGAGAATCAACGGATCCCCATAGAAACGTCGATGAAGCAAGAGCCGTAGAATCTATGCCTCTCGAACTTTCAAATCCTCCTGAATTGATTATACACTCAAGTCAATTAAAAATAGAAAAGTCTCTTGCGCTGTCAATGTCCCTATGCATATCATTAGTAATTGTTTTGAAATCATGATCATCGCTAAACTATTAACTCGGATAGTAAAACTTGTCTATCGCAAAAGGCATATTTCCCAGTCAACTATTAATTTAAAGACTACCTATTTATAAAACTGACGATGCTGAATCTTTCTCGAATTATAGAACAATTTCCTTATTACCAAATTTTTTCTAAAATTTTCGAGAAAGTCATTTACGACTGCTTATTTAATTTATAGAAACCCTAGCAATCCTGTATTCTCTTCCGTTCGGCTTTCGTAAAAATAACTGCACTAATCTTGCATTTAATTTACCCACCTAACATACAAGTTCAAGTTCAAGTCGAGTTTATTGTTCATTTACACTTAGCATTTGTGAGAACAATCTCACCTGCTAGTTTGCAGGTATAACAGAAAGAAAAGTAAAAAACAATTAAGATAATGCCATCTACAGTAACTAACATGCCAAAAGGTTATAATTAAGGCTTAAAACTATTTACACAAGACTAGACATATCATTTCATTTAAATGAGGGAAGCTAAAACTATCAATATCAAATTTCAAACCATAACAAGCCTAGTTTTCTAGTGGTATTTTCAGAAATTAAACCTTTGAGGAACAAATTGCTTTTACATGAGTCTGGTATAAATTCCATAGTTTTGGTAGCCGTAGCACAAGTAAAAGTAAGAAGAATTAAATTAAGATAATGCAAGATCGAATAGTTCTATATGAGTCAGGTAGTAATTTCTATAGTTTTGGAAGGTATAGCACAGAAGTAAAAGAAAAAAAAACTAAACTGAGATAAAACCATCCACAGTATCTAAGATGATAAAAGATTAAATTAAAATTTCAAACTATTTACATAAAACTGGGTATATCTTTTCACAAAATGAGGATAGCTAAAACTAATTGAAGATACTAGGTGAAAAGTATGACGATATATCAAACCTGACAAGTCTAGTTTCCCTAATGGTATTTTTAAAAACCTTCAAAGATAATGATCGAATACTTCTATATGAGAATTGCATCTTCCATCGACCGTAACGAGATTACTATGGGTACATTTTTAGACTTTTCTGAGTAATTTGACACTGAATCATGAGATCTTTTCTTTCAAGCTTAAGCATTATGGCATTAGAGCAACCATTCTTCAAAGGGTAAAAAGTCATTTTTTTTCCAACGAAGGCATTTTGTTCAGTACTTATCCGCATCTTAATCTTATCAGACTGTTAAATGTGGCGTACACCTAGGATTCATCTCAGGACCACTTTTCTTTTTGCCCTACATCAACGATCTACCTAATTTTTCTCACCTGGCTAAAGCGATATTAGTCGCTAATGATACTTCTCAATGAAGCCCCTTGAAATAATGTGCATCTGGTAAAAATTTTTGGGTATTTCTAGATGAATACCTTTCTTGAAACCCGAAAGATGTCCAAGTCCACTGGAATTTTGGAACTCTCGGCCTTTTGATATTACTAGTTCTGAGTCTCTTCTGCCTCTTTCGGGAAAAAATGCTTACTTTATGAAAAAAAACAATACTATCAATTCTCTTCATAACTAGGACTACCAGTCATTTACGCTTTTACAAGTGATGTAATGTAATATTATATTCAATGTAATTAAATGTAATTTAGTTTTATTTTTCTCGGTCCCGTGGAAGGTTCCTTGTAAAAGCCTTGTGGGTTCTAGCTGTCTGCCATCCAAATGTACCACTTATTATGATCGTATTATTCCATAGGAAATTCATGACGTGATTACCTGATTCCTCAAGCAAGATTGAAATAACAATTAGGATCTTTAACCCGCTTCACCCTAACAATCCACACCGTTCTCTTTAAATTTTCTCTGAATACATCAATCAGGGCACTTAGTAAAAACATGTCGATAGGAAAAAATTTTCCTTCCCTTGAAACTCTGAACAATGGAATCGAGATTGGTATTCACTCATTCATTCCTGCCTGGCTGTACAAAGGATGACGACAAATGGGGCAGCTGCGACTGCAAATTTAAAGGAAATATTTCAGGTGAACTCGAGAAAAACTGGTGTAGGATTGTCACAGTAACATCTAGTCTACTTAGAAATTAAGTCTATCAAAGTTTACCTATTGAATGATATTGCATTGGATTCAAGGGGACTCCATCACACGCTTAGAGCGTCTTGTAACCAAAATTAAAATAATCTCTGGAGCTAATAAAAGCTAATGGAACAGAGAAGAACAATCAGGGAATTGCCGGGACTTATTCCTAGATTTAGACGGGAAAGGAAGGCTGTTTCTCTGAACGTCTGTACTGGGGATTCTGAAAGTGGTTTCCTATCTCTTCCGAAGTTATTTAATCGAAAAAACAACCACTGTTCGTAAATGTATCACTTTTACTCACTGGCGACCAAGGCTCCGTATGAGGAGATGGAGGTTTTTCGTTTTACATGCAACTGAAACTACTCATTTTTTTTCACACACTCATAGCTCGAGCAGGTCCGCACACACCCAATACAGAATTACATGAATACCGAAAAATTTTCAGCCCACCAGTGGAGCATTCCCCCATCTGTAAGTCTACTTGCAAAATTTGCCATAACGATATTTTATGCATACTTACACGCCGTTCTGTATCATAGCAATAGCACACTCTCGGTGAACTTTGTGGGAGCATGGCAGGATCTGACAACCGCTGAACGCGTCCTGGAAATAGAGAATCGATCAACGAAATGATGTAATCAACTTTTACTGTCCTGGAATATTTTTCGCCCGTTTTTCACCAATTGCCCGAGTATTTAAGTAATGAGATCGAAAGAGTACAGAAAAGGGCGTTAAGTATTATCTTACCAGATTGTTGTTACAGTCTAAGCTTGAGTAACTATAATTTAGACACTTTGCAGTCTCGGCGCGAGGAACAGTGTTCTAAACTGTTTGATGCAATCTCTAATGACCACAAACTATCTCACTTACTTCCTACCAATCATGAAAACCATTATAACCTAAGGAGAATTAGAAAGTACGACCTCCCTAGCGTGCGCACCGAGCGTTTTCAGAGGTCCTTCATCCCAAGCATGTGCCGACTAGCAAACAACAATATGTGAATATTCGACTGATCAAGCCTGCCTAGTATTACTTGATCTTAGTGATATTTTATTTTTTTATAGTTTCTGATACAATTGTAATTATTTATTACAGATAGATAGATAGATAAATCGTTTATTAAAAAGAAACACCTCGCAGTCCGAAGACTGAATTACGTGTATAATAGACAAGAAACAAAATTCATAGTTAAAATAGTTTGAAAATCTTAATAATAAAAATATACAAATCTAATAAAAACGTTTCACTTAGGATGATCTTGTGTTAAGAAAATATACATA